AACCTCCTACCCATAGGCACTGAAGGAAGTTCAGGAGCCATTAAATCCAACCTTTCCTTTTACAGAAGAGGAATCTCAAGCCTAAAGAAGTTTAAAACCATTTGGCTGACCCTAGCTGACTGCTCCCTCTTGGTTCTCTTCTACCTGTCTGACCATTCTTTTTCAATTCCATTGGTTGGTTCATCTTCTATTTCCTGTTCCCTTACACCAAAATATAAGAATCCTCCAAGGCTGTCTTGAACCCTCTCTTCTTTTCTCTCCAGTGTCTCTCCCTTGGTGATCTTATCAGCATCATCTCTCCATAAATGTCTCCCAGATCTACACTTCCAGCCCTAATCTCTCTCCTGAGCTCTAGTCCTCCCATCATTAATTTCCTGCTGAACATTTCCATCTGGTTATCCTCTAGGAACAAAAGGATTTACAAGTGAATCCTACTAAACATTTAAAGACCAATTGATTCCAATGCTACATAAACTAAAAAAATAAATAAAGAAGGAATCCTACCAAATTCCTTCTTGACACAAATATGGTCCTGATACCTAAACCAGGAAAAGTCAAAACAGAAAGAAAACCACAGACAACTTTCCCTAATGATTAGTAATGCAAAAAATTTAAATAAAATACAAGCAAGGAAATTACAGCCAATATATCACAAAGATTATACATATGACAAGGCTGGACTTAGGAATGCAAGATTGGTTCAATATTAGGAAAACTATAAGCATAATTGACCATATTAATAACAAAACAACAAAAATCACATGATTATTACAATAGATGCAGAAAAGGCTTTGGACAGAATACAATATTCCTGTTAAAAACACTAAAAAGTATAGGAATAAATGGAATCTTTACTTAAAATGATAAGTAGTAGCTAATCTAAAACCACTTGGATATTCCATTAGCATCTCAAATGGTCCAAAACAGAACTCATTATCTTTCCCCCTAAGAATGTCCTTCCTCTCAGCCATATTAATCAATATTGTTTTAGATTATTTAAAATAACTAGACAGTAGAAGGTTGGAATATTGCTGTGGTATAGGAAACAATGAGTTGTTGGACTTAGAAAAATAGGGAAAGACTTGGACCTATGAAAGAAGACGCTATCCACCCTCAGAGAAATGGGACAAATAAATATGGTCTTAAACAGATGCATACAAATATATATGTCTATATATGAATATGATTATCGATATCTAAGTATATGTATGTTTATATGTATGTATATATGTTTATGTATATGTGTGTATATAGGTATGTATGTTTGTATATATGTGTGCATATACATGCATACATACATATGTGTATTTATATATACATACAAATGCAAATATATACAAATATATCCACACTTAAATGTAGCCTTCTTGGGAGGAAAGGGGGAAAAAAAGAACAAAGTAAAAAGTGCACAAAAGAAAACAAAAAAAAACTTTAAAGGAAGCAAAGATGGATAGCTCAGAACATAATATGTAGTACTTACTATGTAGGCTTTCTTAAACTAGAAATGTATTGCTGTATATTTTGAATCCTCTCTTATGTTCTGCTATACACATGGTAATGCTTTTTTTTCTTTTCTTGTTTCATATTTAAGTTTTAGTATTAAAGTTTATAATACATTTCTTTTTCTTTTCTTATTGTGTATTTAAGTTTTACTATTTAAGTTTAAAATAAATTAAGAAAAAAAAAAAAGAATGCCCTTCCTCCTAACTTCCATACTTCTGTTAAGGAAACCAGTCACCCAGATTCTCAACCTCTGAATCATCCCTGACTCTTCCCACTTCTTTAACTTCCCATAATCAAGCTATTGCCAAATCTTACTGATTATAGCTCCACATGTCTCAATCTGTTTCCATCTTTCCATTTACACAGCTACCACCCTAGTTTAGGCCCTTGTGACCTTTTGCCTTTACCATTATACTATCTTTCTAATTGGCATCCCTGCTTGCAAATTCTCCTCTCCATCGAACCCTCCACATAGCTGCCAAAATAATCTTCTTAAGATCTGAACTTCTCTTGAGGGCCTAAATGCAAGGAAGGCCTCCAGCATGTTGGATAGTCTCCTTGGGGTAAATTTTAGGGAGAATTCAGATGAAGGTCACACAGGAGGATTATTTGAGTTATTTGGGTAACTCAACTCATCATAACTCCTCTGCTCAGAAACTTTTAGTGGCTTCTGGAGCCCTGTGGGATAAAACGCATACTCCTCAGTCTGAGCTGAAGGATCCTCTGTAATCTGGCTTCGACCTGGCCAGAACACCCCATTCCAGCTTTATTGTTCATTACTTAGCTTTAAATCTGGTCTCAGACACTTACCAACCGTGAGGCCCTGGGTAAGCCCCTTAATTGCTGTCTGCTTCAGTTTCCTCAGCTGTTGAATGGGTATAATCATAACACCTATCTCTCAAGGTTATTTGTAAAGCACTTAGCACAGGGCCTGGCACAAAGTAGGCACTTATTAAAGCTGATGTTCCCTTTCGCTTCTCCTCTTGGAGCCCACAAAATTCCAGCTAAACAGGACTAGTAGCTGTTCCCTGACCTCAGCATTCCAGAGCATCCACTCACTTCCTCTTCACTCTGACAAATCCTTGCCTTCCTTCAAGGCTCAGATCAGAACAGTTAGTGATTAAATTATCCAATGTGAATTTGACGCCTGTTGTTGATACAATAGAATTTAAACCCCTTGAGGTCAGGGATTGTTTCATTTTTGCTTTGTATCTCTAATGCCTTGAGTGTAGATAGGCAAATGTTTATTGAATTGAATTCTGTACAATAATGCATAAGTGCCTAGGGGGAGAGACACCTTTCCTGATGGAAGGGAAATCAGGGAATGTTGGTGACATTTGAGTTGGGTTTCAAAGGCGGGGTCAGAATTCCACAGGTGGAGAGAGGACATTTCAGGCAATTGTGGGCAAAGGCTCACAGAATCTTTTCCCAAAGAGGCGGGAAACCATGGAGTATATTTGGGGAACAGAGTAGTAGTGTTTGGTAGGAGCACCAGGGGCATTGAGGGAGTAATGTGAAATGAGGGCCTTGAATGCCAGAGTTTTCTATGTGGGAAACTGAGTCCAAGAGTGGGGAAATGGCTCTTCCAAAGTCCTCATCCTAATGACAACTGGCATTTTGCTTGCCTTAGAACAACCCTGTGAGATAGGTAGTAAAAATATTATTAGCCCTATTTAACAGATAAGGAAACTAAGGCTCAAAAAGCTTAAGTGATTAGCCAGGGCTAAACAGCTAGTAAGAGGCAGAGATGACATTTGAAACCAGGTCTCCTGGCTCTCAATCTGAGACTCTTTCCACTCTTCCTTTTGCCTCACTTTTTCTTTTTTCTTTTTTCTTTTTTGGCACTTGTATGTGGGCCTTGTATCAGTGGCTATGTTTTTCCATACCTATGTCCAATCTCCCCAGCAGGATGGTGAACTTGCCAAGACAGGGACCATTATCTCCTACATCTCCCAGAGTGCTACCACTGGATCCTGCACATAGTAGGTGCTCAATAAATACTGATCAATGATAATAAAAATAACTCCAGCGTGGGTTCTGTGCTGGCCCCTGAGAACGGGAGGCAGTGGGAATGAAACACCCAGGGTCCTATTGACCTGTCAGAGTATGTTCTCTCTCCTGAGCTGGCCTGCTCTCACTCCCTGAACTGGCTGTGGGATGGCAGATCTCTTCAGCCTGGCCTCCATGGTTTCCCTTTTGTACCACAATAACTCGACAGTCATATCACCCCCAGCCTACTGTTTAGAATCCAATAAATGATTTTCCTCCAATGTGATGGATCTGAAATATAAGTTATAAACCGGTTATCACACAATAGGTACAAAGTATTGTCTCAGTGTCCCTGTTTGTCCAGCTTAGGAGACTAGCTTTGGTAAGGGATTTCACAGAATTTCAGAATGTTAGACCCTTTAAAGACATTAGAAACAATCAGGTCCAATCTTTTTATTTTACAGAGCTGAAAACTGAGGCCTGGAGAAGGGATGTGACTTGTTCAGGTTATACTTTTTTAGCAAGAGTGACAGGTGAGGTCTCCTGGATCCCGGTCCAGGGTTCCTTTACATTATACCATGATGCCTCCTTCACTTGGGAGTCTCTCTGTTTAGTCTCCTAGGCTGAGTCTTTTTTGATTAAGATTTTTTTTGCCTGAAGCTAAAACACAGCTTTCTGATTCTGGCATTCAAGGCCCTCTGCAAGATCGTGCCAACTTATGCTTCCAGGCTCATTTCACATTGGTCCCCCTTATTTTAAAGAAGATTCCCAGATCAACCATCTCTTCATTCCTTCCCAGGCTTCACTCCTGACTCTCTGGACTTTCTTGACTATGCCCCAGCCCTGGATGTCTTCATCTGTCTACCTCACCCCCGTCATTTCTTTTGTTCTGTTTGTATTTGTATTTCTAGCACTTAGCACCATGCATGGCACATGTGCGTGCTGAATAAATGCTTACTGACTTAACTTGGACTCTAGCCAACTGTACAACCAGTACTAGTACACACCCTTCTTGATTCCCTCCAGATAGAAATTATCCCTCACTCCTTGAATCTTTTAGACTCTGTGGCTTCTCCTAAGTACTTAGTTATTCTTTCTCTCTCTCTTTTTTTTTTTTTGGTGAGGCAATTGGAGTTGAATGACTTGCCCAAAGTCACACAGCTAGTGAATATCATGTGTCTGAGGCCAGATTTGAACTCAGGTCCTCCTGACTCCAGCAGTGCTTTACCCACTGCACCACCTAGCTGCCCCACTTAATTATTCTGTAACCTACATCATAGATAGAGCACTGGGCTTGGACTCAGGAAGACTCATCTTCATGAGTTCAAACAGACTCTTTACTAGCTGTGTGACCCTGGGCAAATCACTTAACCCTGTTTGCCTTAGTTTCCTCATCTGTAAAATGAGCTGGAGAAGGAAATGGCACACCACAGCAGTATCTTTGCCAAGAAAACCTCAAAATGGAGTCATGAAGAGTGAGGCACGACTGAAATGACCTAACAACAACAAACCTGTATCATAGAATTTATTGAGGTACATGAGTTGTATTCCTTCTATTAGACTAATCTATTGGAAGACAAAGACCACACATCTTATCTGTGTAGTGACCTCAACACACAGCACATGAATAAGTGTTTTTGCCAAATTGAGTTCCTCTTGAAGAAATCTTCTTTTTACTTTAATTCCCCTTTGGAATCCAGACCAGTTATCATCACCAGCTGCCTGTTCTCCAAGGAAGGAAAGTCCTCTATGTAAGGGTCCCTCAGGCACTACCATCAATTCCAACCATATAACACCTCCTAACACCACCACTTCCCTGAACTAGCCTTCTCAGGCCTAGCTTAGCTTCCCTACCTCCTCACGTAATACCATCTTTATCTTAGCTTGTATGGGCCTTCCCTCATCTGTCCTTCATGAAGATGTGGTGGAAAGATGACCTAGGGTTGACATGAGCTGGCTATGTAAGCTTAGGCAAATCCCTCTTCTTCAGGGTACGATTAATTCATCTATGAAATGAGATGGATGGACATGACAATCTCTAAAATCTCTTCTAGCCCTAAGAACTGGAATAGAACTGGAGTCAACCATTTATCTTCTGTCTGTCATACAGGAACATTGACAAGTATCCACATTTACAAGTTATGAAGATAAAATTGCTTTTGCCTATAGAAGACAGGGTTAGATATGCTTGGAAAGAGGTCTATTCACCATAGCTAAGGGGACTAGCTGTTGGGAAGGAACAGCAGGTGGGAGTCTGAGCGCCAGGGAAAGGAGGGAAAGAGAATTGTCCATTTCCTACATGACACACACCTGATGTTCTTGCCCTGATGACTTTACAATTATACTAGCATCAACTGGCATTTGCCCCACCTCTGCCAGTCATTCAAGTTAGAGGTGGCACTTTAGGAGATTAACCTCATCGTGGGGTGAACTAGGGATCCATTTGGCTCTACTTGAGTGAGCGCTCTGTCCATGCCCAGTCTGATCCCCAGAGTCCAGAAGAAAGATGTCTTGAAGTTCTTAAAAATGTTCAGCACTCAATTCTTAAATGTCGTTTCCAGATCCTACCTCTCTTCTCTGAGAGATGGCCTAGGATCCAAAGGTGTGGTCCAGTGTCCTGTGTCCATGGGCCCCCAGTCTCACAAGACCCTCTGGAGGTCCAGCTTCCTCTAGGCCTTCAATATGGAGGAAATTCTCTGTAGGAAGCTTGGTGGGAGTGGGGCAGGCCCAATGCCCCATTGTTCAGGGGCCTCCATGCACCCTGTTCTCTCTTCTCCAAAAAGCTGAGATCTGTTCCAGGGTTACCCGGGGCTGTAGGCCCCAGTCAGGCTCAGGGCTCCTGGGCCTTCGGATGCCATAAAATGGTGGGGGTAAGGGCTCTGGGACTGGCTGTGGCTCAAACCAAGCTACCAAACCAGTAGTCTGAGGCCTTTCTTCCCAAGTATTTGCTATGCAGAATGTGCTGGCAGGGGACTCAGGAGCCTGGGGTGGAGCTGAGGGACAGAGAGGAGAATCTGGAATGGGGGGTGCTGTGGCCTGGACCTCCAAAGTACCCCCAAGAAAATGGGGCTCAGTAACATGGGAGTGCAGAAGAGGGGCTGTTGCACCATACCAATCTTCAGATCGTTCATGGGCTGTCCCCGAAGGCTCGATCCACAGCTCCCCCCCTGGGCGCCAGACCAGGCTAGGCCCTTGGACGCCAGGATCTGATCTGAGAGAACGGCGGAAAAGGCGTTCAGCCAGCACAGCTGTGGCCAATAGGAAGACAGCAGCCACTAAGGCCAGGGCCAGCATGATGGGGATGCAAGGTCCACAGAGAAGGGGGGGCCACTGGGAGGGTTGGGGCATGACTGGGTCCTCCACTTGCCCAGGAGGCTGATCCAGAGCTGCAGACATCTGGGAGAAGGAGAGGGAAATGGAAAGACAGAGATGGGAGAGACTGGGACAGAGAAACAGAGAGAGAAGGAGGGAGGGGAAAGAAAACAAGAGAGAGAAAAAGAAGTCCGTGTAAATACATGGACAAAAACAGAGACAGAGAGGTGGGGCAAAGAGGAGAGAGGGGGAAATGGAAAGGGTGGGGGAGAAAGGAAGAGACAAGGGAGTATAGAAAGAGAAAGGGGAGAAAGAGACAGAGAGGGTGAGAGACAGAGGCAGAGAGAAGGGAAATACTTCAGCATTTTGGACTCCACTTCCAATTCCAGAAGTCAGGTGTAACCTAGCATTGGCATTTAAAGAGCAGCTAGGTTCCTCTTCTCACCCAGGGATCCTCTTCTCACCCAGGGATCCTCTTCTCACCCAGGGATCTTCACCCCCTCCACCTTGCTTAAGAGGAAATGGTCGGGGAGGGAAAGACAGAAATATCCTTCCCCCCCGGGGGGGGGGTCTGTCTCTTCCCATGGCTTACAGTGGTTTCTGCTCTTTTTTCTTGCCTTTTCTGGATGCCTTGGGGTCTTTCCAAATCTATCCCTCCTTTTGTTTTCAATCTCTCATTATCTCTCCCTAAAGTTATCCCCTTGTCTTTTTTTTTCCTAGTCTGTCTCCGTCTAAGTCTGTCTTTCTGGGACAGAGATTGGCTCTCCAAGTCTGATTTCCAATCTCTGTATCTCCGTTTGTGTTTCTCCAAGTCTGTCACTGTCTTGCCCAGATGGCCTACCTGTCTGTCTCTTTGTCTCTTCATCTCTCTCTCCATCTCAGGTTCTGTCTCCTCTGTCTCTCACTCTTTCTCCCTGTCTCTGTATCTCTTGAGGTCTCAGTCAGTTTCTGTCTCTTTGAGTCTCTCCAACTGTCTGTCTCTATTCCTATCCCTCCAGGTCTTTCTTTCTGTTTCCCCAAGCCTGTTTCTCTTTGATTTGTCATCTTTCCAAGTCTCTCTCACTCTCTGTCTCTCCCTCCCTCCTGCCCTGGATTTGAATCTCCAGTGCTTCTGGTCTCCAGGGCCCCCCAGATGTCTTCCCTACCCGTGCTTCTCACCTTGGTTTCTTCAGATACTCCACCAGCCTCTGTTCTTACCCGCTTTGAGGGACGATCACTTCGGTGCAAGCTGGGAAGGCACTGAGAGGGGCACAGTCCCCAGAAAGACATAAACAGGGCCCATATGGGGCACGCAGTTAGGCAACTATGACCCAACTCCCCCTGCCACCCTCTTCCTCCCAGGTGTTTCTATGGAAACAGGATGGATGTGGTCACCCGTGGTGAAGAGCCATTTCCTGGGGTGAGGTGGTAGCGGAAGAGGGAGTAGTTCTTCTCTGTTCCCCAGTATGAAAGGTTTTGTTTTTGTTTTTTGCCTCTGTAGTTTTTCCCTTTGTTCTTAGTTTGCAGCTGCTAGAACCTTCTACCTCCTTTCTGAGTGCAGGGTCTGTAAGGGATGGCAATCAGACTAGTCCTGAACCTTTGGAAATCCAAGGGCATCATGAGAATTTGGCTCACCTACTTAATGGAGGTTGTCCCACTATGTATAGCCCTGCCCACCAGGCCCTGTCCTTCCTATCCCCCTCCTCCGCCCACTCACAAATTCTCTTCTGTGCCTGACTCCAATCCTCAAGCTCCCATCTCTCTCCCTTATGCTTCCCTGAGCCCTAGAGCAAGGCCTAGTGCTTTAGTTACTGAATGTTCAGGCTTCTGGTAGATGCAACAGAGAATGTCAGGATTCAGCTTAGATAAAGGTCATAAGATCATAGATTTAGAGTGTAAAGGGACCTTTAATAAAGTGCCATTGGCAGAAACTAGGCATGGAGCAATATCTCACACAGTACACCAAGATTAGGTCAAATGGATACATGATTTAGAAATAAAAGATGATACTATAAGCAAATTAGGAGAGCAAGGAATAGTTTACCATTTACCTGTGGAGAAGGGAAGAATTTACGACCAAACCAGAGACAGAGAACACTATGAAATACAAAGTAGATAATTTTGATTGCATTAAATTAAAAAGTTTTTGCGCAAACAAAACCAATACAACCAAGATTAGAGAGAAAACAAAAATATGACAATTTCTACAGTCAGTTTCTGAAAAAAGTTTTCATTTCTCAAACATATAGAGAACTGACTCAAATTTATAAGAATACAAGTCATTCCCCAATTGATAAATGGTCAAAGAATATGAACAGGCTGTTTTCAGATGAAGAAGTTAAAGCTATCTAGAGTCATATAAAAAAAATGCTCTAAATCACTATTGATTAGAGAAATGCAAATTAAAACAACTCTAAGGTACCACCTCATACCCATCAGATTGGCTACTAGGACAGAAAAGGAAAATGACAAATGTTGGGGAAGATGTGGGAAAATTGGAACACTAATGCATTATTGGTAGAGCTGTAAACCCATCCAACCATTCTGGAGAGCAATTTGGAACTATGCCCAAAGGGCTATAAAATTCTTTGCTGCAGCAATAGCACTACTAGGTCTGTATCCTGAAGAGATCATAAAAAATGTACAGAAATATTTATAGCAGCTCTTTTAGTGGTGGCAAAGAATTGGAAATTGAGGGAATGCTCATCAATTGGGGAATGGCTGAACAAGTTGTCGTATACGAATGTAATGGAATACTATTGTGCTATAAGAAATGATGAGCAGGCAGATTTCAGAAAAACGTGGAAAGACTTGTATGAATTGATGCTGAGTGAAGTGAAAGGAACCAGGAGAACATTATACACAGTAACAGTAACAATGTGTGATGATCAACTATGATTGACTTAGTTCTTCTCAGCAATACTATCATCCAAGACAATTCCAAAAGACTTATGACAAAAAAAAAAATGCTATCCACATTCAGAGAAAGAACTATGGAGTCTGAATGCAGATCGGAGTATATTATTCTCACTTTTTTTGTGTGTGTGACTTTTCCCTTTTATTCTGTTTCTTCTTTCACAACATGACTAATGTGGAAGTGTTTCCATGATTGCACACATATAACCTATACCAGATTGCTTGCTCTCTTGGGGAGGAGGGAGGGAAGGGAGGGAGAGAGAAAAATTTGGAACTCAAAATCTTATAAAAAAGAATGTTGGAAACTATGTTCATGTGTAATTGGAAAAAATAAAATACTATTTACAAAAAAAAAATAATAAAGTGCCATTGGCTCAGAGCTCTGCCTCAGTAGTTTTTCTTGCAGATTGGACAATTTTGAAAAATCTCCACAAGAAAAGAGTTTAAAGACAGTCAATAAGCATTCATTAAACTCCTACATTGTGCCAGGCATTGAACTAAGTATTGGGGATACAAAAAAAGGCATAAAACAGTCCCTGCTTTCAAGGTGTTCACAATCAAATGGATGAGATAACATGCAAACAATTTTGCACAAACAAGCTATATACAGAATAAACTGGAAATAACCAACAGAAGAAAGGCACCACAATTAAGAGAAACCACGAAATATTTCCTAAAGGTGGAATTTTAGATGGGACTTGAAGGAAGCCAGGAAGTGAAGATAAGGAGGAAGACTAATTTAGGCATTAGGGACAGTCAGAGAAAAGATCTCACATATACCAAAATGTTCATGGCACTACTTTTTTGTGGTAGCAAAGAACTGGAAACAAAATGGACTCCCATTGATTGAGGAATGGATAAAAAATTGTGGTATATGTTCATGATGGAATATTACTCTGCTATAAGAAATGATGAGCTCAATGATTTCAGAAAAACATGGAAAGACAAAATAACAAAGAGTAAAATGAGCAGAACCAAGAGAACACGGTATACAGTAACAGCAATATTGTTTTAAGAACAACTTTGAGGGACCAGGTCATTCTGACTATTATAAATACCCAGATTAACTGCAAAAGTCCTATAAAGGAAGATACTGTTTGCATTTGAAGAACTCTCACACACATACATATTTGTGTTTAATGGTAGCCATCTCTAGGGGACAGGCAGGGGGTTGGGGGTTGGTAGGTGATAGGGAGGGGAAAAAAAGAAAGTTACATGATACCTTTGTTGTATTTTTGGGGGGGGGGGTGAGGCAATCAGGGTTAAGTGACTTGCCTAGGGCCATAAAGCTAGTAAGTATCATGTGTCTGAGGCTGCATTTGAACTCAGGTCCTCCTGACTCCAGGGCCAGTGCTCTATCCATTGTGCCACCTAGCTGCCCCAATTTTGTTATATATTTGAAGGGAATAGCAACTTGTACGTAATAGATCTTCACTTTCAGGTGCAATCCTCTTTTTTCTATTCCATTTTGTTATGGAAATGCTTATTTCCTTCCTTAAGTTCAGAATAAAAAAGAAAACAAACAAACAAAAAAGAAGCAATGAACTTGAAGAATTTAGAAAAGCATGAATTGAGGCAAAGTGAAGTAAGCAGCATCTGGACAACATCTTGATGACAACAATGTTAAGTGGAAAGAAAAACAACCAAATACAATTGCAAGTTATGTAATTATAATGACCAAGCTTGGACCCAGAGAACAAATGAGAAAATTCACTTCCCTCCCTTGCTTGAAGAAGTGGGAGACTATGGGTGTGGAACATTGCACACACTGTCAGTCTTAGCTAATGTGCTGTTTAGTTCTGCTGTACTGTATTTTTTTCTGTTTCTTTTTTATTCTTTGTTAAAAAGAGAGGCTCATTGAGTAGGGAAGGGAGGGAGGGAGGATGTATTCAGAACTGAAAGTGATATAAAAATAAAAATGTAAATTTAAAAATATTTTAAGATCATAGGGAACAAAAGAGATAATACAATACTACAAAAGGGAAAAATGTCCCAATATTCAAAAAAGTGAAGAAAATAGTTTATGAACTATAGGTTAGGGAAAATTTGACTTTTAATTCTTGAGAAAATTTTAGAACAAATCATTAAAGAGTAGATTAGTAAACATCTAAAAAAGGAAATAGCAACCACAAATTGCCACAAAGAGTGGCTTCTTAAAGAACAGATCAAGCCAGATGAACTGTATTTCCTTTTTTTTTTATAATGTCATTTGTCAAAATCAAGAGATTTAGTAAATATGTCATATTTATATTTTAGCAAAGCATTTGATAAACTATCCCTTACCATTTTAATTTAAAGACAGAGAGATATGGGCTACATGGTGACAAAATTAGGTGGATTCAGGATTTATTGACTAGACTCAAATAGTAGTCATTAAGGATTTGCTATCAATGTGTCAGGAGGTTGCCAGTGGAGTGCCCAGAGATCTGTGCTTGGATGTGGGCTTCTTACCATCTTACCAATTACTTAGAGGTATAGATGATATGCTTATCAAATTTGCAAATGATCCCTTCCAAGAAGGATAGCTATAACACCCTGGATGACAATCAGGACCAAAAAAATTTATCTTGACAAAGCTAGAGTTTTGGACTGAATGTAAACAGATGAAATTCATGGGGACAAATGTCTTAAACTTGAGTTCAAAAAATCAACTTCAAAAGCACAAGATGAGGGGCAGCTAGATGGCACAGTGGATAGAACACCAGCCCTGTATTCAGGAAGACCTGAGTTCAAATCCGGCCTCAGACACTTGACACTTACTAACTGTGTGACCTTGGGCAAGTCACTTTACCCCATTGCCCCACCAAAAAACGAAAGCACAGTTTTGAAAAAGATCTGGAGATTGTAGTAGACCAACCTGAAAGAGTATAAAGTGAGAGACAAAAAGCTGATGCCATTGCACTACATGGAAAGGCCCAGCTTCCAGAAATAAGGAGGTGAGGATTCATCTGTGTTTTGCCCTGGTCAGGCCATCACCAAAGTTTTGTATTCAGTTCTGGGGGTAACCTTTTAGGAAGGAAATGAATAAAACTGGAGAACATCTGAAGCAGATCATGCAGGTTAGTGAAGGGCCTTGGGTCCGTCATATAGGGATCTGTTGAAGGGACTGAAGAAAAGAAGTCTCCGAAGGGACAGCATTGCTATGTTTTAGAACTTACAAGTCTATCACATGGAGGAGGGATCAGGCTTTGTTTTATCTGGCTCCAGAGGGCAGATCTAGGAGAAATGAGGTGGAAGTGGGAGGGACAGATTTAGGTTTGGTGGAAGGGAAAATTTCCTAACAATGAATTAACATTATCCAAAAGAGCGATGGGCCACCTCAGTAGGTGGTGAGAGAGTGCCTGCCCATTGGAAGGGGGAAGCTAGAGTGGAAATTCTGTCCGCGGGCGTCCCTTCCAATTCTGAAATTCTAGAATTCTGCGACCTCAAACGCAGCCATTGTTCCTAGTCCAATCTCATCCAGAATGCACTGCGACGATACGGCGACGTTCAATGACAGCAGCAGTTACTATGGTGCAGCAGTGCAGCGACATGCGCTATAAATCACACAGCAATGGCATGCACCA